TTTTTAAACAAAGGCTGAAAGGGAAGGACCTGGCCTGGAATAGGAAAGTTATGGTTAGCCCAGCCTCCCTTCATGCTCTTGAAGTCTTCACAGGCTGCACCGTGGAATATCCAGGGAAGAGAGGGTAATGGAAGGCCTTTTTCAGGGAGAAGTAGTGAACTGGAAGGGACCGTAAAAGGTCATGAAGACTAGTCACCTGCACTCTGGACAGAACCAAGTACTGTTTAGGTAACCCCTGACAATTGTTTGTCAAACCGAGGCTTTCTTTGGCCAACTGAGAGAAGCTTCCGGATCGCAGGCCCTGATTCTTGTGGGAGACTTTAATCACCCTGACATCTGTTGGGAAACCAATATGGCAGTACACAGGCTATCCAGGAAGTTTTTGGAGAATGTGGGGGATAACTTCTTGACACAACTGCTGAAGGATCCGACTACGGGCCGTGCGCAGCTTGACCTTCTGCTCACAAATGGAGGAACTAATAGGGGAAGTAGAGGTGGGTGACAACCTGGGAAGCAGTGATCATGAGATGGTAGATTTCAGGATCCTGACCAAAGGAAGAAAAGAGAGTAGTAAAATACACACCTTGGACTTCAAAAAAGCAGATTTTGACTCCCTCAGATATCTGATGGGCAGAATCCCCTGGGATGCTAACAGGAAGGGGAAAGGAGTCCAGAACAGCTGGCAGTATTTTAAAGAAGCCTTATTGAAGGCACAGAAAGAAACCATTCCGATGCGTAGCAAGAGAGGCAAACGTGGTAGGAGACCGGATTAGCTTACAGGGGAAATCCTTGGTGAACTTAAGCACAAAAAGGAAGCTTACAAAGTGTGGAAACTTGGACAATGACCAGAGAGGGGTTTAAATGTATAGCTCGAGAATGCCGGGGGGTTATCAGGAAGGCGAAAGCACAAATGGAATTGCGACTGGCTAAGGATGTAAAGGATAACAAGAAGAAGGTGATCAGAGAGGGTGTGTGGCCCCTACTGGATGAAGGAGATAACCTAGTGACAGATGATGTGGGGAAAGCTGAAGTACTCAATGCTTTGTTTGCCTCTGTATTCACGGACAAGGTGGGCTTCCGGACTAATGCGCTAAGTGACGCAAGATGGGATGAAGATGGACAGCCCTTGGTGGATAAAGAACAGATTAGGAACTATTTAGAAAAGCTAAACGTACACAAATCCATGGGTCCGGACTTAATGCATCCGAGGGTACTGAGGGAGTTGGCAAATGTCATTGAGGAGCTTTTGGCCATTGTCGTGGAGGTCAGGAGAAATCCTGGATGATTGGAAAAAGGCAAATGTAGTGCCCATCTTCAAAAAAGGGAAGGAGGACAATCCAGGGAACTATAGGCCAGTGAGTCTTACCTCGGTTCCTGGAAAAATCATAAAAGGGATCCTTAAGGAATCCATTTTGAGGCACTTGGAAGAGAGGAAAGTGATTAGGAATAGTCAGTATAGATTCACAAAGGGCAAGCGTGCCTGACCAATCTGATTAGCTTCTATGATGAGGTAACTGGCTCTGTGGACCAGTTACGGTCTCCCACAATATTCTTGCCAGCAAGTTAAGGGAATGTGAATTGGATAAATGGACGGTAGGATGGATAGAAAGGTGGTTAGAAGGCCGGGCCCAGCGGGCAGTGATCAACGGCTCGATGTCAGGATAGCGGTCGGTTTCTAGTGGAGTGCCCCAAGGTTCAGTTAGGACCGGTTTTGTTCAATATCTTTATTAATGACCTGGATGAGGGGATGGATTGCACCCTCAGCAAGTTTGCGGATGACACTAAGCAAGGGGGAGAGGTAGATATACTTGAGGACAGAGAGAGGGTACAGAATGACTTAGACAAATTGGAGGATTGGGTCACAAGAAATCTGATGAGGTTCAACAAGGACAAGTGCAGAGTCCTGCACTTGGGACAGAAGAATCCCAAGCATAGTTACAAGCTGGGGACCAACCAATTAAGTAGTAGTTCTGCAGAAAAGGACCTGGGGGTTACAGTGGATGAGAAGCTGGATGAGTCAACAGTGTACCCTTGTAGTCAAGAAGGCTAATGGCATATTACGTTGCATTGGGAGGCGCATTGCCAGCAGATCCAAAGATGTCATTATTCCCCTTTATTCGGCTTTGGTGAGGCCACATCTGGAGTATTGTGTCCAGTTCTGGGCCCCCCACTACAAAAAGGATGTGGACGCATTGGAGAGGGTCCAGCGGAGGGCAACCAAAATGACTGGGGGGCTGGAGCATATGACTTATGAGGAGAGGCTGAGGGAGCTGGGTCTGCTTAGTTCGCAGAAGCGAAGAGTGAGGGGGGATTTGATAGCAGCCTTCAACTTCCTGAAGGGAGGTTCCAAAGAGGATGGAGAGAGGCTATTCTCAGTAGTGACAGATGGCAGAATAAGGAGCAATGGTCTCAAGTTGTGGTGGGAGAGGTCCAGGTTGGATATTAGGAAAAACTATTTCACTAGGAGGGTAGTGAAGAACTGGAATGGGTTACCTAGGGAAGTAGTGGAGTCTCCATCCCTAGGGGTGTTTAAGTCTCGGCTTGACAAAGCCCTGGCCTGATTGATTTAGTTGGGATTGGTCCTGCCTAGAGCAGGGGGCTGGACTTGATGACCTTCTGAGGTCTCTTCCAGCTATATGATTCTATGATAACCTGCTCTTAAAAATCTCCAGTAATGGAGATTTCACAACCTTTCTAGGCAACTGATTCCAGTGCTTACCCACCCAGACAGGAAGTTTTTCTTAATGTCCAACCTGAACCTCCCTTGCTGCAATGTAAGGCCATTGCTGCTTGTCCTATCATCAGAGGTTAATGAGAACAACTTTTCTCCCTCCTCCTTGTAACAACCTTTTAGGTTCTTGAAAACTTTCATCTAGTCACTTCTTAGTCTGCTCTTTTTCCCAACTAAATAAATCCTTTGAATCTTCTTTCATAGGTCATGTTTTCTAGATTTTTAATTATTTTTGTTGCTCTTCACTGAACCTCCTCCAGTTTGTCCGCATCTTTCCTGAAATGTGGCCCCCAGAATAGAGTGGAAGAATCACTACTTGTCTTGCTTACAGCACTCATGGTAATACATCCCAGAATGTTCGGTGGGTATTCTTTTTCTTCAGCAGTGTCACACTGATTCATATTTAGTTTGTGATCCAATATGACCCTTAGATCTTTCTGTAGTACTTTTAACATTTGTGTGTGTGTGTGTGTGTGTGTGTGTGTGTGTGTGTGTGCGCGCGCGCACAATTGACTGTTCCTCTTTAAGTGGAGTACTTTGACTTATTAAATTTCATCCTATTTGCCTCAGACCGTAGCTTCAGTTTGTCTAGATCATTTTGAATTATAATTCTATACTCAAAAGCATTTGTAACCCCTCCTAAGTTGGCAGATGATACCAAGTTTATAGGTGTACTCTGTCATTTCAATAATGGCATAATTGAAGATACTGGACCAAGAACTGATCCCTGCAGAACTCCATCTGTTATCAGTGTTTCACAGTCATGCTGGAAGGGAATAACTACTTTCTGGGAATGGTTATCCAAACAGAAATGTCCTCATCTTATCATAGCTCCATCTAGGTTGTAATCCCCAAGTTTTGCTAATGAGAACTTCATATCTGGGTTCTACAGCCTGGAATTGTATTTCCATTTTAGCTTGTCTGTTCCCATGGGAGTTTATTTGCAGGTGGGTCCAAATGTAAACACCCCAGTATCAGCTCCCAAGTCAAGAGGAATGGTTCAGACATAGGAATCTCCCATTTAGCTCCTTCTCCCCAAAGAATAGCAGGTCCCTGGCTAGGGGACCATTTCCGTTTCCCATTTTTCTACCCTTAGGCTGATGATGGGCTGGCTCACCACAGGAAACTGGCCTCCAGCCCTCTCCAAGCTGGAGATCCTTTAACCCAGTGGTCTCCAACCCTTTTAAGTACAAGATCACTTTTTAAATTTAAGTGTAATCCAGGATCTATCTCAAACTCCATTTGCCCTGCCTCCTTCCTGCCCCTTCTCCAAGGCCTCACCCCTGCTCACTCCATCCTCCTCTCCCATCTTCACTCACTTTTACCATGCTGGGGCCAGAGGGTTGGGGGGGGGGGAGGGGAGGGAGAAAGGGATGTGGACTCTGATCTGGGGCTAAAGGATTTGGAGGGTGGGAGGGGTTTTGAGCTGAGCAGAGGGGAAGGGAGTTGAGGTGCAGGATGTAGGCTTTGGGAGGGAGTTTGGGTGCAGAGGGACTCAGAGCTAGGGCAGGAGTTTGGGGTGCAGGAGGCATTCAGGACTTGGGCTGGGGTTTGGAATGCAGGCTCTAGCTGGGCACTGCTTACCACAGATGACTTCTGGGTTGTGGTGTAGGGGACTAAGGCAGGCTCATCCCTACTCTGGCCCTGCACCACTCCCAAAAGCAGCCAGCAAACTCCCTTCATCGCTGCCATCCCCTCCCTCCGGCTCTGTGGAGATGGAGTATGTGGTGGGGAGAGGGGCACCCTGACATCAGCACCTTCTCCTCTTCATCCAGCAGCAGCACATAGGTGCTGCAAGGGGCCGATAGCCTCCTGGCCAAACGTGTCAGGATCACCTGTAAAAGGCTCCAAGATGGACCAGGAGATCCCTATCTACTGGGTGGTGACCACTGCTTTAACCTCTCCACAAAAGCTGCCAAGTATCTGTCAAGATGCTAGGCCCCGCCCTCACTGTAAAAAGCCTCCCCTCTTTCAATGCCATTTAACTTGTCCTGGAAACTGACCTGAGCCCTATGCAGCAGGCGCAGCAGTTGCAAATGGGAGCGGCTTTGGGACCGCGAAGAAGCCGCAGACTGCCAGGGAGCTGCTGGACGCAACCATGTTCTTAGCAGGGTAGTACGCTCCGGCTCGTTCCTCCGCCTTTCCCTCCATCTGCGCACACAGCTCCTCTGCCCTCCCCGGCTGCGGAGCCGAGTGGTGAAGCCCAGCCCAGGACCAGCACCCAGCCCTTGTGCACAGCTGCCCAGGCATCCCCCAGAGCAGCGGCGGAAGGAGGCGCCAGGCAGGGAGCCGGCCGGCCGGCTTCCAGGCATCTGCGTGCGCTCCCAGCTCTTTCCACACCCCCAACTCCGCGCGGAGCCTCCCCCGCGCTCCTGCCCCGCAGCCCCGGGACCAAGCCATGAAGCAGGCGCTCATGGAAGTCATGAGGATGAACAGGATTTGCAGGATGGTCTTGGTCACTTGCTTAGGATCCTTTATCCTGGTCATCTTCTATTTCCAAAGTATGTTGCATCCAGGTAGGGCACCTTCGCTCGCTCTCCTGCTCTGCCGGCTCCGCCCGGCTGGGTCACGCCGGGCCACTCTGGCTGGCGGACGGGGCGCTACCCACCGCGGGCATCGGGCTGCAATAATGACTCTGTGTTTCCTGCCGCCAGCATGGGGGGCAGCTTTTTATCC